ACCCATAGGCTATGAGTTTCTTGTTGCTGAGGGAAAGGTTGGTCTTTCCTCTCCATACGACTAATAGGATTTAGGAATTTGCCAAACTCCGAAGTACGGCTCAGATAGCCAAGAAAACCATATAGGTATGTGCCTTCGAGGATGACTAGGTTCCTTTAGGACAGTCAGATAATGGAAGATAAGTAAACATTATTGTGAGTATGTCGCCAATATTAAAGCATTGGTTCAAGTGTTTTCAAGCTTGTAAACCGATTATTGTCATTTTGGTTAAGTTCAGGATGTTGGAACACCCGAACTAGGTAAAGAAACCGCTTGTAATCTAGGTTTGTGTGTATGTTTTAACAATATAACATAGGTTTTTCAGAGGTATATTCCTGAAAATGGATTCCTTTAGGATGTCGTAGGTAAAACTTCATAGTTAATCACCTCATAACCAGTCGATGGTATTGATATTTTACGTTTGAAAGTGATCGTCAATCGTAGCATGTAATTTTTGGAAGTCCAAACCGACGAATTCCCGTTTTTGGAAGACTTCGCAAGGACTTAGACCCTGTTTGATATTCATCTAACCGAGTCAGACATTTTTGGCTGAGTCGGTCAGACGAAAGGTGTTTGATAAACAAAATCTTGGCGTCTGACTCGGAAAGCAAGGTCTGACCGAGAAAGAAGTTGGGAGATGGATGACTGAGAAAGAAAGCAAGGCTTTCCAGTAGTACCCTTGGCTTGGATAAAAATTCGTAGCTATTGAAGGTTACAGGAATAGAACTTGGGTCTCCTTTGTAGAAGGAATGATGCTTACCAGCAAGCTGAAGGGCTTTTTGTATTTTATCTCAAAAATAATATATTTAATGTCTATTATGTTGGAGTTTTTGTATATATTATTATTATTATTATTATTATTATTATTATTATTATTATTATTATTATTATTACTAATGTCTATTATTATTATTATTATTATAATTATTATTATTATAAATGTCTATTATTATTATTATTATTATTATTATTATTATTGTAATTATTGTTATTATTAATGTTGTTGTTGTTGTTATTATTATTATTATTATCATCATCATATTGCACAGAAACGTGTAGAACATCGGGGTAAAATGGTCATTTTGCACCAGTCAGCACATTCAGTCAGATTCTCAATCAAACAGCATGATTTCTTACTCAGTCAGAATTTCTTACTCAGACAGACCTTTCTCAGTCAGCACTTTCTCAGTCAGCAACTATCAAACGGGGCCTTAGGGAGTATGCCTAAAGGTGGAAAACAAAGTTCTACCGCCAAATAGGTACGGATGGATGAATTTGATGCAGTAACGTTAGCTTGATTCTAAGTTGATCTTATGAAACCCCAATAGGAAAATATATGAATTATCTTAAGGTGCTCTAGAAATAGGATTTCAGGGACAAAATCTCAATAAGTCGGGAGATTTGTAACACCCCATTTTTGCCTTATAGTATAAACGACCATTCATGTAAATAAATATTTTATGATAGGAGACTATTTAGGGTAAATAATCTTGAGAGAATTCATTGTAATCGCAAAATCGAGAGCATACACATGAAGAACGCCAAAATCTGTCTTTGTACGAGGAAGTTCTGATTTCTAGAAATTTCAACGTAGCATTGTGCGATATAGAAACCGAAATAGAGATCAGTCGATTGTTAGGAAAAACAATCTAAATGAGAGTTGAAGATCTCATCCATATGATTCCGTCGATATAAAGACAATTGAGAACAAAATTCATATGAGAGAGTTATAATTTTTGTACGGGCTTTAACAATCTATGTCTGTTAAAAATATACTTTTAAAAATAAAGCGAGAATTAGCTGACGGAGTCTAAATGAAAGTTGTAGATCTCATCGATAGCTACACGTGCATATACACAACATCGAAAATGGAGCTCGTATGGAGAATATATGATTTTTTTGAAGAATATGTTAGTTTGCACGCGAGCTGGCATGCACAGACCAAGTCTGCGGCGTGTAATGACACACCACCCAGATTTTGCCATGTGGTACTTTCTGTATGGAGCCACGTCAGCACCCTAACTGAGTACACGGTGCACACCTAACCATGTGCACGACGCGCACCCCGGAATTGGATATATATATAAAGGTTGTAGATCTCATTCTTTCCATCCACACCATTCTCACTTATTTGGTCCCGGAGTCCGAAATTCTTAGGTCCTTTTCGTGTTCTGAGGAATCTCTTTCTAAACAGGACTCTAAGGCAGAAAGTCGGCCATATAGAAGTGCTTGGTATTGGGGTCCTGTTCGCGACTTTTTGGGTTTTCGTCAGAAACTCTCTTTAAGTGAAGCTACACTTACTAGACTTTTAGGATGGCTCATATTCATCTACTTACGAGAGAAGTGTCTAAAACGGTCATGTTGGCTTGAATTTTCGATTTTAGAAAGACTATATGCCAAAATGGTCCTGCCTCATAACTGTCAAGCCTGGCTGATCCTTATTTGATAGAACTCTCAGTATTCATTGGGATTAGTAAGGATCTAGTCTTCATTACCAAATCGTCATATAAATTAATATGTTAAAGTATTATAGGTTAATACTTGTTCGGTGTGTTATCTGCCAGTTGAGTCGCCAATATAATCTCCCAGATAGCTGTCAATTTTCTGAATTATTGTTAAGGCGAGTTATCGCACTATATAATTTGTTAGAATATATATCCATTTATGTTAAGACATAGAAGTTAGCAGAATAGAGCTAATACTATAGCATCTATGTGCCCATATCAGTGTAACTTAATGTGTAGCCTCTATGTATGGTTATGTATGTCGGGCGGGGTCTGTCATGTAGTTTGGGCGGGGCCCATTATGTATGTTGGGCGGGGCATGTCATGTAGTTTGGGCGGGGCCCATTATGTATGTTGGGCGGGGCCCGTTAGGTAGCTCGGGCGGGACCCATTTTGTAGTTTGGGTGTGGCCTATTTGTATTCATGTATATGTATTATGGTATATGGTATCTTGAGGACTCATTAAGCCTAGCACTTACCCGGTTGTTATAAATGTTTTTCAGGAACTTCGTGAGAAAGGCATGGTTCGACTATATGCGCATTCACAACATGTTTTCGCTTAATGTAATTATATTACGATATATTTTAATAACTAAAAATGAAAAAAACTACCTTTCAAAATCGGGACGTTACATCTACTGGTCCTTCGCCTCCGGTGAACCACCTCTAGTCCACCAGTCCCTTCTTCTTCTCCTAAGCAGAAGCAATGAGAGTGTTTGTGGCTTGTGAGCTATCGCTGACGAGAGGTAGCCTCAAGTAAGCGAGAATAGGTGATCGATGGTGGGTTTAGGTTTTAGGGATGATAATTTGTTTAATTTAGTACTATGCATCATAAATTTAGTTATAATATATATATATATATATATATATATATATATATATATATATATATAAACTATATAATTAATTATAAAAGATTTTAATAATGGCATAATAGTATTTTTACTTCAACCAGGGACCAAGCGTGCAATAAAAACATATAGAAAAGATCTTCAAAGTTAAAAAAAAATAATTAGGGACAAAAACGCAAAGTACCCCAAACCACAAGGAGCAATTGTGTAATTTACTATAAAATATATTAATAGCCAACCAAATTATGAGCTGGATAATTTCTTATAGCCTATACAATAATCGTTGTAGACTCCATTCAGTTCACATTCTAAAAGAATCCCATTACGATTCTTATGTATTTCTATTTCATATACATCAGTAAAACCGTGTTGTCTTTGTTTAGGTCACTAACCACTAATCACCTGATAGTTTTCTTATTTTAGGGATGTTATAGATAAATTCATTTTATACATAGTATAGAGAGGAGATTTTATATATCTTTATAATTTATTTATATCATTGCAATACACCATCGAGGTCCTCCATAATTTCTGTCTAAATCTACATTATATACAACTTTCTCTTAGTTAGAGTTTCCTGGACATTGTTCTCCATATAACTATCAAATCAAAGGAAATTGTTCTTCAAATGGCCATCTAATGAATGAGCCTGAAGCATTGGATTCTCGTTTTTACAATGTGGTATCTTACCTTTGGTTAAACAACTAGTATACCTAAAGCAAACCAAAGAACGGATTCCAATCCTTTTAGTGACATTCAATTCTTACAATTATCTTTTTTTTTTTTTTTAAATTTGTAGTAAATTACAAATTTATCCTAGATAGACTTTTGTTCCCAAAGCTATGTTGAGGCTAGGGGTGACAATTGTTGACACGACACGACAAAAATACACGACACGAAACGAAATTGGGACGAAATTGAAATTCGAATTCGTGTTCGTGTCGTGTTCGTGTCAAGTGTAAAATCACGATGTCGTGTCGTGTCGTGTTCGTGTTCAAAATTCGACACAAAATTGACACAATTTAGCATTTATTTGTGGTGTTTTTCGTGTTTGTGGTGTTTTCGTGTTTGTGGTGTTTTCGTGTTATGTGTGATTAAATATTAATTAAATAAACTAATTGTTATATTATGTTATCTTTGTCATGTCGTGTCGTGTTTGTCGTGTTTGTAGTTTATTAATTGGTTTGTTTTCGTGTTAGTTAAAAAGAACACAACATATGTCGTGTCGTGTCGTGTTCGTGTTACAAAAAACATTTTCGTTTCATGTCGTGTCATTTAGAAACACGACACAATGACCCGATTTGCCACCCCTAGTTGAGACGGATATCAACCTTTAGCGGTTGTCTTTCACCATAATAAAGTGCACAAATCTTATCCTTGATGTAGATTTTTTGAAAAATTTAGAATATTGAAACCATGTAGTAAAGTATTTTGTTGAATTTCTCTGGATTACCTTTTTAAATGTATTTTTGCATCTAAACGTGTGAGTTGGACGGAATTAAATTTTTATTCCTATAAAATCCCACAAAATACTACGAACAAAAGGCAACTAAAACCGTACGCATTTTAGGTTTCATCCGTTAGACATGGATTCCATTATTTCATTTCATTACTAATTGGTTTCTCCACTTGAAATCTAGTAATTACAACAATTATAACCTGTAATTACAAAATGTTCTTTAATCACAAATTATGCAATATTCGTCACAAATATATCGAATATATTTTTTTTATTGGACAATCACTTCCTTTTATTGTCACCATCATGGCTGCTTGAGAAAATAAGCATCCATATCTCCGACTACAGCAGAAAGCAAGTCTAAATATGGTGTTGGATCAGGCATATTTGCATTCAACCATTTACCTTCTCGAAGTCCATAGTCCAGATAACCAACTTGTTATGACCCATATCTTCAATATTAACCGTGAGGATTAAGGGATTATAAACCTCCAACACTCCTCCTTCAATCACCTTGAACACAATTTTGTGTAATTCATCATCAACTTCTTCAACTATTTCTTTTGCAGTTTCGACTTTTCCATCTACGAAAAAAACCGTAATTAGAAATAAGCACAGAGAATGAGATGATATTTTTGTATGTACCAGAAATAAGACCAAAACCAACTTTAAGATCTCTGTCTGAAAACTAAAACTGTCATATGACAGTTTAAAACTGTCATAAAACCATAAAAACTGACATAAACTGTCATAAAACCATAAAAACTGACATAAAACTGTCATATGACAGCTCGACCCCAACCAGGGGCTCTGCACCTTGGACCCCGCCAGGGGCTGCCGCCCCTTGGACCCCGCTCAGAGGGGCGCTGCCCCCAGACCCCCGTTCGTTAAGGGGCTTCTCCCCTAAATGACAGTGTACTTTGAAACTTGAACAAACTTAAACATGTGTGTACTCCACACCTTCCTTACTTGTTTAATATTTATAAATATCACTATTGGTCAACAAAGTAATCCCATTACACTTAAATAACATTGATGATAACAAATCACGATCACACATAGAACAAATTTTCATGTTGAATTATCATAGTTGAAATAGTATACCATGGATGAAGTGCCAATGACAGATCCAGGATCACAACATTGACCTGAAACAAAATCACAACCTTGAACCTTATCAGGGGAGATGACTGCAGAGTTGTTTGGTTTGTGTTTGTAGATTTCATAAACCAAGTTAATATCACTTTTGATTTCAACTTCACGGACTAACTTACCTATTGTACCCATATTTTTTTTCTTGCGAGCCCTAGCTAGCTTGTTGTCCCAACTAGGCTCTAGCAGTAATTTTGATATTTTCCCAAAGAATTCCCTATATTTGATTTCTATTTCAGACCTGGTCATTCTCCACGTGCCATGTACATGATGGTATATTAAATATAAAGTACAATACAAAAAGCCAAAAATATAAAGACAACGCCTCAAATCACTATTGAAAAAGAAATCCCTTAACAACTGATAGAGCCTAGTTGCGCGTCCTGAAATTAGTGTGTGTCAGAAAAAAAAAAGTACGGAGGACGCCTATCGTAAAATATGTGTCATCTAAGTGTGTCGCTTTATATTTTTTTAATGAAACACGCGTTTTAAGCCGGAAATGAAATTCCCAAAAATGGCCGCCTATTCTATGTGAAAAATTAAAACCCCCTCCGCTTCCAATTAACAAGAAAGAAGCCTAGGATCTTCGTCTTCCTTTCTCTCTCTCTAACCTAAAACCCAACCTGCGATTTCATAGAGATCTCCCATGGCTTCGCATATCTCACTTAAATCGTAATAACAATCAATCATTATCTTCACCTATTTCTATCATGTGTCATTTTTCTCTCCCGTGTCCTTACTCTGATTGCTTTCCCTTGTCCCTTCCTCCTCCTCCTCCCCGTCGTTTTCGGTCGCTAATACGCTGGAGTCGGATGAAACTGCTGTGTGCATAGAGGTTGAGGATTTCGGTCACTCACCTTGTCTTTCTTGCAAAATATTTGGTACACACAGGAAAACATAAACCCTAAAGGGCTTATACACCCGCGCCATCTCATTTGAAGTCGGTAACCCCTCCTTGGCACTTGCCACCAACAACCACTCTACTCTGGGGTTTAGTGTTTATCATATCCTGGACATTGGTACAATCCAACAACCAGTTTAGGGATCCAACCATCTCTGTTTAAGCGTGTTAAAAAGAGCAAAAATGGCGACGTCAATCGCCTCACAACTGCAGGCAATCAGGTCAATTGTCAAAGCCGACACAGACCCTCTCAAAAGACCGTTTACCCGTCCCTCCATCCTGTTTGACGCCAAAGAAGCAGCTGATATTGACCTTGATACTCTCTTTAACCTTGCCCTTTCAGGTATTGATATGAATAAATGGGTATTCAGTGCACACCAACTGTTTGATTTTTTGCCTCTTAGAACAAATATAATGAAATTGTTCATCATAGTACTGGTGTTGGTTTCAGTAACTCTTCTTTATGTTAAAAGATTCATGGGCTTTCTGTTTTTAGTTCTATTCTCAGATATTCTCTCCTTCCATGAGTCTTTTTCTTGTCATATTTCAAACCATGTATTGTGCCACTTGAAGGTGGTGTTGCAACTGGATTCAAGAAACCTGAAGAAATGGAATTTGAAACAAGATTGTACATAAGCAAAGGGAAAAGAGTTGTTCATGTGAATTGGATTCAATTCTCTCGATCTTTGCTGAATCATGATGATGTGTTTATCTTGGATACTAAAGAGAAGATCTTTCAATTCAATGGAGCAAACTCAAACATTCAAGAAAGAGCTAAATCTCTAGAGGTCATTCAGTATTTAAAGGAAACTTATCATGAGGGAACATGCAATGTTGCAATTGTTGGTATGGGATATACATTTATAGCATATGATATGATTATATTTATATTTATCACCCTTTTTTTATTTTTGTTTTTATAAATCATTTCAGATGACGGAAAACTACAAGCAGAAGGTGATTCAGGTGAATTCTGGGTTATTTTTGGAGGGTTTGCTCCTATTGGCAAGAAGGTTCTTGGTGATGATGATATAGTTCTAGACAGGACACCTGGCAAACTTTTTAAGTACGAATATCCTTTTGGTTTTCTTTATTCTTTATCTGACAAATTATCTTTACATAATTCTAAATTTTTTTTTTTTTTTTTTTTTTTTTTTTTTTTTTTTTGTAGCATTGGTGGATCAGAGGTGAAGGATGAAATTACAAGATTTACGAAATCGACCCTGGAAAACGACAAATGTTATCTAATGGACTGTGGGGCGGAGGTTTTTGTGTGGGTTGGTAGAGCAACACAAGTTGATGGTAGAAAAGCTGCCATGCAGGGTGCTGAGATAGGATTTGGTTAATTACATTTTTACCCTTCGAGTGATTCTCACCGTTAAGGTCCATTTGTAGGAGTATATCACTGCTCATGGTCGACCAAAATCCACCCTTGTAACCCGATTAATTCAAGGTTATGAGACGGTTGAATTCAAGACTAATTTTGAGTCATGGCCATCAGCAGCTGCACCTCAAGCAGAGAATAGAGGAAAAGTAACAGGTAATAACAACCTACTTTCATTCATCGTTTGTATTTTTTATTACTATAACTGGATGATTATTAAGCTATAATTGGGGTTTGGATTGTAGCGCTGCTGAAGCAACAACGTACATTTTCAGGATGCATGCAGGCCTTGCCGACTTCAAATGAGATGGCGCGGGTGGATACTTGTTGCGTCAATCATGAGTTGTCACCAGTTTTCTTGATCTTTATTCTAATACTGAAATGCTGATGCATGCAGGCCGTTTTTCGCTTCCTAGATTTAATGATTATCGATCTAACTTTTTGCAATTATTTAATTGTTTAAACTGTAGGTTATTGCAGATTTTGACAACACATTGACAAAGTTTTGGGTTGATGGATTTAAAGGACACTGTATGTTTGTGATTTATTAAAAAATTTGAATGAGTAACACATTCGTTATTGTTATTATGTGTTTGATGTGCGATTAAACTATTGTCTAATTGCAATTGTAGCTAGTCATACCCTCCTGCAACAGGAGAATCCTGAGTACAATGCTAAGAGAGATGAGTTATTCAACTACTATCATCCTTTAGAATTTGACCCTGAAATTCCAATTGATGAAAAAACAAAGCTCATGGAAGAGTGGTATCTAAATTTCCATTTCTAAGTACTTCAAGATAAATATAATACATACTAAAGCTAAACCATCATTCTTAACTCAATGTAGGTGGGGAAAGACCCTGTGGAATAAGAAACTCTGTGGTCTCCTTATTGAAGGTGGCCTTACATATGATGCAATAAGAAACTCTGTGGCTGGTGCCATGATTGCTTTCAGAAAAGGTGTAGTTGAGCTTTTTGAGTTTTTAGATGCAAGTTTTGACATTTTCCTTCCCATCTTAGCATCATTTGAAGGGTTTCTTTAATAGTAAAGTAAACTCAATTCTTTTAAATCTGCAGGAGAGAGATGTCCCAATTCTTATATTTTCTGCAGGTCTAGCAGATATTATTGAGGAGGTAAGTTAACCAATTAGTAAAGCTAATCTTGAAATATAGAGCTAATGCTTCCAATTTATAACTCTGATCATCTCAATTTCATCAGGTTCTTCGCCAGAAACTTCATAGAACTTTCAAAAATGTTAAGATTGTATCAAACCGGATGAAATTTGACCAGAATGGTAACCTAGTAGCTTTTACAGGTAAATTCTTGATTCATGGTTTATATAATAAGATTGAATTGGTTTTGTTTCTTTAAAAGTATGAAACTTTATGGTTTTTTCAGGGAAGTTGATTCATAGTTTGAATAAGAATGAGCATGCTCTTGATATGGCTGCTTCTTTTCATGATAACTTGGTGAAATTGATGAGCATGTGATCGATGGTGCCTCTGTGAAAAGAGAACCAATGTGCTACTTCTTGGTGATCACATGGGAGTCAGGTGCTTCAATTGGTGTTTCCGTTATTGAAGGTTGCAGTCAGGTGCTTCAACCGGTGGTTTGTCGTTTTCTCAACTGTTGTATCTTGGACAGAGATGGCCTAAA